CAACCGTTTAAGAGAAAATAAAAAAATTATTTACTTTGTTTGAATACACGTTTTTTATTTTTACGTAATATTAAAACAAACGAGTATTTTGATTTCAGTACAATTTAGTTTATAGAATTTTGTAACACTGCTTCATTATTAAAATAATTGTATGTAACTATTAATATTTCGTATGAAAATGATTAACTTTGGATTTATCCAGCTCGTAAAAATTTAAAATTCAGGTTACTTATGAATATGAATTATATTTTAAATATTATATTGAGTTGTATGTATATCAATATTAAAATGCTATACATTTTAAATTAATCATAATTTTAAATAAGAATCTTTAATGTTAGATATTAAGTAGGTAATAACTAAATCATTATTTATAATTGTTATAAATTTATATTTTTTTATGAGTTAAATATTATAGCAACAGCGGCAATAAAGATTATCCCGTGGTGTGGATGCTGGAAAAAAAAATACAATAACATTGATTTGTTTTCAATATTACTATTTACTAAGGGGTGACTTTCGGGTGTTGGTGCATGTGAGCATTATAAATATGGAGTAGGTAAATAATATGTTTAACTAATACTTTATTGTATCCTAAATTCATAACTATTACAAACTAATTTATTTGAAAATTTAATTTCGTCATCAGAAAATAGTATAACGTGAAACAAAACATAAAAACTATATTAACTATTAAGCATGTAAAACAACTTTTATTTCGTTAAATTTTTTTAACTTAAACAAAATAAAGTGTGATCTATTTAAAAAAAATAATAATTGCAATCTACATTGTACATGTATATGTTGTAGATGCTTAGAGAGTGGGGGATTATACGCATATGCCATAAAGTTATTATACCAAACTAAAAAAAAGGTAGTGGTGCTGAATGAAATATTCTATAATAGGTTACCTACCTAAAAGTTATGATTTTTTTGGAAATCAATTGGATTATAAGATTTTTTTACTACCTATTCATTATTAGTGTGCCGGATGCAATTTCAGTGGAACCTATTCCTGTGTAGATTTGCGGATGAATAAATAAATAACTTACAGTATCAGGTGAGGTTGACGTTATCCGAAGCCATTTGGTTCAAATAGGAGAATAAAACAAAAAATGGGTTAATGTAGGAAAAAGTATGAAACAATGTGGATGATAGATATTAGATACCTATTATTCTATTCGTAATTTGTCGGTTGCGATGGCAGTTCAATCGATAGTTAAAGATGTTGTGAGATTTTTTTTCTTATACACACATAATATTATAGATTTTGAAACACGTATATTCACGAAAAAGTGTTATTTGGGAAAGTGTGTAACCAACTGTTATTCTATGAAATATATTTTATTTTTATTAAGTTCAAATGGTTCAATAGATTTTTTTTCCTGTTATTATTTTTTTTTGTCAGGATTTATTTGTTTAGACATGGAAAAGATATGGGGGATGTGTAAATTTTATTTTATCACCACACCTGTTGTATGTCTAACTTTTACTTTATAAAATTACCACTTCTCGCTTTTAGATATTAATAATCAATATCTATCAATTAGTTAAACAGAAATATAGAATAAACTTGATTATAACTGTGATACAGCACCTGTGTAATAGGTTGAAGCTACTGGCCGCCATTTTAATGAAATGTTAGTTATCACTCGCCTTGGTTTCAAAGTATTTTTTGGAAAGCTATGAAGTTAATTAACTGTGATAACATTTTGTACATTTAAAAGCAATTCTATAAGCAATTATGTATTTCACAGTACCTACCTACTCAATATTAAAATAACTATATCAATAATAGGTACCTACATTATACCAGTATTTATAGTAGCACAACATTATGACACTTCACATTAATTCATTTTCATAATTTTTTTTTAAACAAAAAACCAAAACTGACAACGGATGTATCATGTAAAATATCGTTTTACGAACTCTGTAAAAGTACTATTTGTAAAAAGTCTATTGCTTATAAAGGAAAATGTTCTCTTATAATATTATATATAACGATTTATAGATTTATTGTTTTACTGTAGTTAATAAAAGACCACTTAGTAATCTGATGTTACATTAAATTAGGTATAAAAATCATATCATATTCGATTTTGAACGGAGCAGTACATGAATTGTTTTTTTTTTTTTATCGTTGCTGAACGTTTAAAGGCTAGTATCAATATTATCTAGTTGATTATATTTGGAATAAAATGCTTCATAAACTCATAGAACAATTTCTGATACTTAATAAAATCTGTTTTGAGTCTAGTTTAAAACAGAAACAGAAAATGCAAAGTACTTTTAAAAATAATCTGTTAAATTTAAAAAAATAAACTTTGGAAAAACAGTGAGATATATTTTATGAAACATCCGTAATTTTAGTTCTTCCAATATAATTAATTACAAATAGAACAAAAATAGGTATAATTCATAAAGAACCAAACATTTTTTCAAAATTTATTTTAGCATTTACTAGAAATGTATCGGATTATCTGAGTTCATCATTGACATTTAATATGCACGAATCATGAAAAACATAATTCCTGTTATGTTGATAAATTTAAGTCAATACAAGATTGAAAATGTAATACATACTTTTTCTTCCGTTATTTTTACTGAGGAAAAAATACCAAAAGAACTGTAGTTACAAGTTATAATTACAATTATAATCATTTGGTGTTTAAATTTTGTTGACATTTTGGAGTTAAAATGTATTACAATTTTAATTTTGATATGTAGCTTTTAAAATTCCAATGCAACGTTTCTCATAATTTTTCGAGCTGTAGTTAAAAAATTAAAAAAGATAGTTTAGTGTAATGCCCTATTATTTTTCTATGAACATTTGAAAATCACATTTATATACAATTTTATATTGTAATAAAAAATTAAAGAATTTTCATTAAATTATTTTGGTTACAAAGATGTTATTCAAACAATATTAAGCATAGAAACTTCAAACTTTTCATCATAACGTGTATCATTACATTAAATGAAAAATGAAATTTTCCAAAATGTATACTTATTTTATGATATTTATCCACGTCATTCTATAGTGGGTAAGACTACCTACACCATCATTATTTATATAAGTAATTACGTTTTTATACAATAAAACAAATCTAGTATGATTATAGTCGTAATTAATTAATTAAAATATTTATCAAGATATAAGAACATTTTTTATCAAACATAAATACTACATGTTATTGAGAGCTTAACTGTTTACTTTCAATTTTTTTTTAAGTATAACTTGCAATTAAACGTAAACATTTGTTCTTAAAAATAGTATGCAACAATATATTTTAAATTAAAACGCTATAATACATTTATGCACGACATCATTAAAAATGTTGAAGATTTAAATTAAATTTTTTTTTTTGTTGTCTTTGTTGTGATTTACTTTTTAATAATTTGTGGATGTGTCTAACATTTATAAATAATTTACTGGAAAAATAATACAAATATAAATGTATACATACATTTATATTATATATTTATGATTATTTAAATAAATAAATAATTCATCGAATGTTATGTTTACATAAATAACTTTAAATTTTATTTTGTATGAATTTACTTTAACAACTGATTTGTTCCTTTATGTTTGTATTTTAACTTAAATGTATACATTATTTTACTTATAAAACATGTATATACATTATACATCGCAGTATTCAATATTTCAATGATAATAAATTTTTTTTTATACGGTAAAGTGTGATTTATATTACGAATAAAATTTATGTAATTCTTATTCCAACACTTCATACAAATTTCAAGTTCCTTTTGTGTGTAGTGGATGTACTGACTTAATATATTGTTTCTGTAAATTTTTAGTATCCTTAGTTTTTAAGTTGAGTATCAGCTAAAATGTTTCATTATTCTTTTTTAAATAATACAAACAAAAATGTATAGCACTATTGCATACATTACCATATTAAACAATCAAGATATCATCTTTTTTGTTAGTTTTGTTTTCATTTACAAACATTAACAAATTATAATTGCACAAGTAACATTCAAAATGTCTGATTCATTGAAATAATGATTTCTAAAACGCACGCTTAAGTTATTTAAATACATGGTTTGCTTACAAATGACACGAGGCATTCCTTGCTTAATAACTTGTTTATTTCAGCCACATACGTTTGAGTAAAAATATAATCCAAAGAAACCAGCTATACTCAGAAACATTTAATGACAAACAATTTCATGTTTTATGACCATCCATTTACATAACGGATGATTGTAAACGGAGGTAACACTAAAGCTAAAATGTTTCATAACTTGTTAGATAATATGTTTTTCTGTAATTACTACTTACAATAACACCCACGAGAAAAATCAATACCAAGCAAATTAATAAAAGTGCACATTTGTAATCTCTGAACACATTAAAATTATAATATAAATATCGCATGGTAAATAAAAATGAAAAAATAGCTGGGCATATAGTTTGTATTCCAATCGTTATGGTTTTGAAGTATCTTTAGCATAATCTTGAAATAAACTAAAACTTAAGGTGAATAATAAGTGTCAAAATTGGTTATAATATAATAGAGGCAGAATCCAATATTTAATTCACTAGGTAATACTTTGATACTATTATGCACGTAACTTCATACCCAGGACAACACTGCAGGCACCTGTGATATGGCTAACAGTGATACTCAGGTCTTATAATACTTAGTGTGAACTTCTAGTCTGAAATTCAACATTTTAATACACACATGAATCAGAAACACTCTGTACAAACAATAAATTCACCTATGGATTTCTTTCTTCTTCTGAAACGTTAATCTAAATAATAGTCTTTGCCTTTTAAAAACACAATCGACTATCAACTATCGGTGATGTCCACCTAAACGATAAGAAAAAAAAATAGCGGCGAATGTTGTGGCGGGCCGGAATCGAGAGGAGGCGCATGGTGTAAGGTGGTTGCTACGAAACATCGATAATTCCAGAGGCGCACACTGGATAAACTCTGTGGGACGACGCCGCCAGTGGCATCGTATCCGCCGCTTGATGTGGACCACCGTTTTTCCGCTTTCTATCCGTGTGATCCTAACTGCTCTCGTATGCACGCGTGTAAAATAACCGTCGATAATAAAAATTAATTATTCGTTCAAATCATAAACAATAGTCGATTATACGATATTACGTATGATAAACGATTTCGATAAATAAACCACCGCCGTTTCCGTACACGTACCCGCTTGTGTGAAATCAACATCCAGCCGTTAGATCAGTTTTGCACGGCAGGTCACAAAAATGTTCGGTTTTTTTTACTAATTTGTTTTGTATTCGCTGATCTATGAAGGAAACATGAAACTGTGGGTGGACACAAATAGTGAGTAATTATTTTTTTTTTATAATGATTTGTTAATAGCATTGAGCATTGAAATTGACGATTAAAATAAATATTTATAATTTTAAGATTTTGCATATTTTTGTTTTACGTATTTGTTGATGTAGCTTAAATTAAAACAGGGTTAATTTAAAATGTACATGTAATTATTTATTGCTGTTTATTATTAATACGATACCGGAAGATCCCCTAAGATACTGGACTACATAAACATACAATTTAGGTATTACAATATATTTCATTGTACAATCATATTATATAATATTATATTACAAAAAAAGTTATTAATGCATTTAGACATCCGATAAAAAATGTATTTAAACTATTGGCCTTAGCTGATGAATATCAATGAAAAAATTAATAAAAATCGACCAAATTCTAAAAATGTATTTATAAATAATTAAACACTGAAATGATAAATGATAATATTAATTATAATTATGGCTATAATATAATCGTTGGTAACCAAAAAAATAAAATAATAAGTGTGAGTTATGAGTATTGAAATACAACAAACATTTTAGGTAAAACATTTGAGTTGGGATCTACGAGAATTGGAGAGCACAGCAAGCAAGGACTCTAGTTTGTAATAGATCTGTATTGGTTATTGTGGTATCAGCATACTTATAATATAATTATTTGTTTATAATAATTATAACAGATTGTTTTATTTTTGTACAAAGTTTTATAAAAAATTTTAGAGTAAATGTATTTTAAGATGATTGAATGAAGCTTATTATTTTTTTTTATTGGAAGTTATTAATTACATACTATATTAAACTTGAGGAATAAAATCAAATATTTAGATCAGTTTTATGAACAATAATTAGACAACAAAAGATTGGTTGAAAGTTTTTGTTCAAAATATTGTATTTTTACTGATCTTATTTAAATTTAAATTACATATTACTAGAATTAAATAGAAACTTGGAATAAATCAAAAAAGATATATTATTCAGTATAAATTAACACATAATGTACTATAATGTGTTTCTAAAGAAGTATTTCCACTAATTTAAGGATTTTATATTATATTCATCTATCATTTAAAAATGTTCTTTAATTTTATGCTTGACAATAAACTAAATGGTACTCTTAATACCTATCTAACTTACTAATACGAATTTTACTGCATCAATAACAGTTTTCTTTGTTTCTGATCATTTATTTTTTTTATTATTATTTCAAGAGTAATATTTAGTAAGGTTCGCTCATTATTGTAGAACTCTAGACTCATAATATAGTATAATAAACCAAATTATCTGAATGCATGAAATAATGGATTTACCTTGGATGTATTTCTACGAAATATTATATTTTTTTTCTTTGACTGTTTAAAACAAAAAAAAACTTTTTAGCCATTCCATATCTTAATACGTTCGACAACGTAGCGATTCGGTTATGCCAAGGGAAAATATTATAACAATACTCGTCCGGTATTATACTCTACCAAAAATAATTTTTTTCTTGAATACTTACATACCTATATTTTGATGTATGCTATATCTGACATCGATATAATATTTGGATGTTTGGCTTGGAAAAATATTCACTTACAATATGGAAAAATTAATTATGTAATCTCTATTGTTAATATTTTGTTTTTTTCTTTTTTACAATTAACCTAACACAATAGGTTCAGTAGGTAATTTTTATTTCGAACCTCGTATTATGAAAACAAGCTGGCTTAAAGTACACTAAACCTAAAACGAACACGAAAAAATCTTAAAATCCTTTCAGACACACATAAAAACCATTTGTTTCAACCCATTCCATTTAATAAATGGTTCCCTTGTTAGTGACCCGACGAATGTCCGTGTACGTGATGCTGGACAATCCCAACTCAGTATTTATTGTTAAATTCGTTCGTGATATAATTCGTTATACCAGTGCATTTTATTTTCTCTTGTTATCATCATTGAAAACGATCGAACTGTAGTCCAATACGAGTATGTCTATAGTAAAGAAAATATATTTGAAAATGTCTGTATTTTGTCATATCACCCATATTTTTACAAAATATATTTAAATACTACGAACAATTTTTAAGTAAAATGTACATATTTGATGTATATAGATCAATATTAATTTATGTGCTTCAAGTATGACTTAAAATGTTTAGTTGGAATATAATAACAATTTTATAAGTAATATTGTATAGGCTTTAACAAAAAACTATTATCACTAATTTAGTTACATTTTAAATTTCATAGTTAGCTATAGGAACTTTTTTAATGTACAGTTTATAAAGTAAATTTTGTTTACTGAACATACATAATACCGAGATAATACATTTTTAATACTTTACAGAATCCAAAATTGTATGATGGAGGTATTGCTAATATTATAGCAGTTACTATTTACGCGAATAACCTATTGGTTTTATATACATACAAATAGCATTATAATATTTGGTTAAGAACAGAGATAAGTTTGCAATAATAATTATAATATAGAATTTTTTTACATACTTGAGTCAATGACTCAATTAATAATTAAAAGTTAAGCTATAATATGAATGTTTAATAAATTAAATAACAACTTAAATAGACACTCATGTTTTAATTCAACCATAGCTCAATGAGATTTTTATGATTTACATAATATAATTTAATAATTTAATTAGCTTATAGTAAATCCATAGCTATTTTTCTTTATTATAATAATTATAAATACAGTGTTTAGCAAAATATCGATTAAGTATTTCAAGATCTAAATATTCTTAAGCTATAATATAATACCAGATTATCACTATATTCATAATAAAAATAAATCAATTCAAATACTGTAACACGGCGCTCTGGGTAGTCATTATCAGTGCAGTGGTGTGTAGGTGGTACGATTTATAAAAAATATAAACAATATTTTCTATTTAAGTTTTAATGGGATAATAACCAGTTTTAATCTTATAGGCGCCATATATTTCATTAAAATTAAAATAAGCATTTAAATACATATTGAAAAAAACGAACTTAACTTACACTATGTTGTATACCTATTTATTTTTATGATTGTAATTATCACAAAAAATATAATTATTATAAAAAATATTTAGGTTAAAAACGTTTTATGTAAATTATAATAATCTATATTTTGTATATTTTGGGCGATTCTCCCATAAAAAAAAAATATAATATACAATTGATATTATTAAATAGTGCTATTTAGTTATATAAAAACGTTTTGTACTCGTGAGAGTAAAACATATTAAACACAAATAACATTTATATTTTTATTTTATCAGTGATAATATATTTATTTTATTTTATATGACACGAATACTTGAAGCATATACGAAGTAACATGATATAAGTTATACTACCTATATGTGCACAGTTTGGAACTAACAATTAATTAAGCTTAGATCATATACATTTTGGAAAATAATAATGGATTCAAAATTTTAGATTAAAAGTTCAAGAATCAACTTTTGAGATATGGGCTGGTATAATATAAACTTATTTTTTTGCATTCTCGTCATTTTAAAATAATAATAATTTAGCGACACTTTTTTAACTGAGTATAATTTATGGATGTATGGAGGTTTATATTTTTGACTATAGTAATATTATTATTTCTGATACCATCAGGTGTTATTTATTAATTTATGTGTTGCATTTGTCCATAATAATATGAAACATATTAAACAAGTTTCGTTAATTATAATAAATGATTTTTAAATTTATCCGAAGTCCCTTTAATGCAAAATATGTATATTTTATATTTCAATGAATAAAATTGTAAAAATAATAATAATAACAGATACACGCTGCATATTCGTTTTAAATTACACAAATATTTTAACAAATATTACGAATTCTCAATTTATATTTTAATATAAAATAGGATATTGGTAAAGTCTGACGGATAAATTTATTCAGTCCTACTTATATTTCAGTCTTCTTGTTTAGCTTTATGAGCCATTTCAAAGTAGGTAGTTGAAATTACGGTATTTTATTTTAGCTAACATTTATGGGTATTAGCATTATACGATCGGTTGCTATAATAATTATGATAATTGTCTTTCTATTTTCAAAAATACATTTCACAGAAATAAACTCTAAGTTAATTATTTGTGGATGAATATATTCATTAAAGAAGTCTTATTTTTATGTAGTAGAGTTAAAATAACCATTATCTTGCTATTGTAATAGATATATTTTATTAACCTTGATTTAAAAAATCGTTGTTTATCTGTATTATATTATATTAGGTTTATTTTAAAAATAAGACTAATTTTCTCGAAAAGTTTAAATTTTCAAGAAAACTAGAAGTTAGCAGCGTTGCGTGTAAATAGACCAGTACATTTTGTTAAATAGTCGATCCCTTTCGTTAAACTAATATCTCGTTATCAATATTACTTCTATTACCAACAGTTAAGACTCGAAGTCTGTCGCCACAGAATACCAGTAGAATACTGCAGAACTTCCAGCCTTTATTCGACCCATTCGTGATTTACCCGTTTTTATATCGATTAACGTACATTTATTTATCGAGTTCATTCACCTCCGTAGTTCTAAGAACGATGTCATCTGCATAAGCTAGTGATTGAACCTTTTGATCACGTAACCAAAACCTTGTGGAACTTTGTTTTCAAAGCCATTTATCACTTTACGCAATTCAAGGTTAAATAATATTGGCGGTAAGCCATATCCTTGTCTCAATCTCAATCTTAAACTCATCTGTAACACTACCAACAACATTCATCTTAAGAATACTGTTCTGCCGTCACTGTACCAATAATACCAGAAATATAATATAATATATTATTTTGTAAAGTTTACATAATATATTTCATTTAAAAAGTTAGTAAGCCTCGTTAACCAAAATAAATAAATTAAATATGTAATATCTGATCGCAAAAGGCATTAAGTATCATCAGATATTTGATATCTATTAGTTGAATGTGTATAACATTATTAAACACTCTTTATCTAAATTTTTTCCTCAATACCGTTAACAATAAATATTTTCAAATTACA